GAGAGGGACAGACAGACATACACAGAGAGAGAGAGAGAGAGATCTTCCCATCTGCGGGTTCACTCCTCAAAGGTCCTCAACAGCCAGGTCTGGGCCAGGCTGGAGCCAGGAGCCATGAACTCCACACCGGTCTACCACATGGGTAGCAGGGACTCAGTACTAGGGCCACCTTCCACGGCCTTCTAGACCCCCTAGCAGGCAGCTGGACAGGAAGCACAGAGCAGGGACTGGAACCTGCGCTCCATATGGATGCTGCAAGCAGTGGCTTAAACTGCTGAGCCACGACGCCAGCCCCTCCTTGGCTCTTTGGCTCTTTCCAACTCCTCACTTTACTTTTTTTTTTTTTTTTTTTTTTTTTTTTTTTTTTTTTGACAGGCAGAATGGATAGTGAGAGAGAGACAGAGAGAAAGGTCTTCCTTTTCTGTTGGTTCACCCTCCAATGGCCGCCACGGCTGGCGTGCTGCAGCCAGCACACCGCGCTGATCCGAAGGCAGGAGCCAGGAGCCAGGTGCTTCTCCTGGTCTCCCATGGGGTGCAGGGCCCAAGCACCTGGGCCATCCTCCACTGCACTCCCTGGCCACAGCAGAGAGCTGGCCTGGAAGAGGGCAACCGGGACAGAATCCGGCACCCCGACCGGGACTAGAACCCGGTGTGCCGGCGCCGCAAGGCGGAGGATTAGCCTAGTGAGCCGCGGCGCCGGCCAATTCCTCACTTTACTTCAATCCTCAACACTGGCACAAGAAACCCATCCAGACCCTCTTTGATCACTCAGCTCTCTGAGCCTTTTGGAGATAGCTAAAGTCTCCATTCTAAATAAAAGGTATAATGGATTGTCCTTCAGCCCAGTTTATCTGGGGAGAAAAACTACTACCAAAGGTAGGGATTCCGCTCTTTTCAAAGTAACTGAAAACAGCAAAAAGGTAATATGTCCCAAGGGATGCGCTTTAGCGTCTGCAGTTCTTTTTTTTTTTTTTTTTTTGACAGGCAGAGTGGACAGTGAGAGAGAGAGACAGAGAGAGAAAGGTCTTCCTTTGCCGTTGGTTCACCCTCCAATGGCCGCCGCTGCAGCCGGCGCACCGCGCTGATCCTGGCAGGAGCCAGGAGCCAGGTGCTTTTCCTGGTCTCCCATGGGGTGCAGGGCCCAAGCACCTGGGCCATCCTCCACTGCACTCCCTGGCCATAGCAGAGAGCTGGCCTGGAAGAGGGGCAACCGGGACAGAATCCGGCGCCCCAACCGGGACTAGAACCCGGTGTGCCGGCGCCGCAAGGTGGAGGATTAGCCTAGTGAGCCACGGCGCCGGCTACGTCTGCAGTTCTAAAACTTCCAAGCGGGGAGGGGAGTGAGCACAGTCAACAGTGGCTACAGAAATATTCTGCAACACACACATAAACTTCTGTATTTATTTGAAACGTATTATTTATTCCAGATACTTTTTCCTATATGCTGATAACACATCTAGTACAACCGCTGTACTACAGATATGAAGATGCGACGTAAGAACTGAAACACACAACCTGGCACCAGAAGACATTTCCAAACTAACACTGTACACATCCCTTAAAATCATTTAATGTCCAAGCTGCCAGAAGTTAACTGTATTTTCACAAAACTGTAATCAAATCTCTACTAGGCAAACAAGTCAAGATGGAAATCTAATGAAAAACTACCAGACCAGCAGCAGAATCGCACACAACTCACAAGAAAGCAGACTTCTCAACTCAGAAACCATCAAGACAAAAGCTATCAACAATGGAATGGACAGCATTATTAAAGAACTTTATCTTGTTTCTCAAATTAACATAAAAATAAGGTAGAAAATGCACCGGCATACTTTTTATCAACAGTTTTTCTTTTTTAAAAAAAATTATTTATTTGAAAGGCAGAATTACAGGGAGAAGGAAAGAGAGAGAGAGAGAGGAAGTCTTCCATCCACTGGTTCACTCTCCAAATGGTGGTAAGGCTGCAGCTGAGCCGATCTGAAGCCAGGAGCCAGGATCTTCTTCCAGGTCTCCCACTTGGGTGCAGGGGCCCACTGCTTTCCCAAGCACATTAGCAGGGAGCTAGATAGGAAGTGGAGCGCCAGCCCCCCAAAAGGCATTTTTTACAAAGCGTATTCACGGACTTTAAGCACTATTAAACCCTTCTATCACTTACTATCATAGTAGAGTTGAAATTCTTATTTTAGGGACCTGCATTGTGGCACAGCAGGTAAAGCTACCGCCTGCAAAACCATCATCCCATCATGTGTACCAGTTCAAGCCCCAGCTACTCCACTTCCAATCCAGCTCCCTGCTAATGGCCTGAAAAAGCAGCAGAAGGTGAATCAGGTGCTTGAACCCCTGTCACTCACATGGGAGACCCAGAAGAACCTCCTGGCTCCTGGCTTCAGCCTGGCTCAGCCCTGGCCATTGTGTCCACTTGGGGAGTGAACCAGTGAAAGAAGATCTCTCTGTCGCTCCCTCTCTCATTCTGCCTTTCAAATAAATCTTTAAAAAAAAAAAAAGAGGGCTGGTGCCGTGGCTCAATAGGCTAATCCTCTGCCTTGCGGCGCCGGCACATCGGGTTCTAGTCCCAGTCAGGGTGCCGGATTCTGTCCCGGTTGCCCCTCTTCCAGGCCAGCTCTCTGCTGTGGCCAGGGAGTGCAGTGGAGGATGGCCCAAGTGCTTGGGCCCTGCCACCCGCATGGGAGACCAGGAGAAACACCTGGTTCCTGCCATTGGATCAGCGCGGTGCGCAGGCCGCGGCGGCCATTGGAGGGTGAACCAACAGCAAAAGGAAGACCTTTCTCTGTCTCTCTCTCTCACTGTCCACTCTGCCTGTCAAAAAAAAGAAAAAGAAAAAGAAATACTACTTATTTTATGGCTGCCTAACATTCCACTCATAATTTTATTACCTCCCCAACCTTCTGACATAATAATGCTGAAATAAGCACTTATGTTCACATTATTTTTCTTGTACTTGAAATGATTTCTTTAGAATACACTTTTTTTTTTTTTTAAAGATTTATCTGAAAGGCAGAGGCAGAGAGAGAGAGAGAGACAGAGGTCTTCCATCCACTGGTTCACTCCTCAGATGACCACAACAACAGGAGCTGTGCTGATCTGAAACCAGGAGCTTCTTCCGGGCCTCCCACATGGGTGCAGGGACCCAAGGACTCAGGCCATCTTCTACTGCTTTCCCGGGCCACAGCAGAGAGCTGGATGGGAGGTGGAGCAGCCGGAACTCACCAACGGCCATGTGGGATGCGGCACTGCAGGCTGGGCTTTAACCCACTGCACAACCCGCCCCAAGACAACAGCTTTTAACTAAGCAGACTGTAGGCTGGGGATTCCAGACTTCCTGATCGTGGAAGCACAGCAGTGCAGGAACAAAGGAGGAGAATGAAAGATCACTTGGAGAAAAAGTAAGGCTACTTTAAAGGCAGAAGACTCGGGGAGGAGTGCCTGACCAGCGACTAAGCAGCTGTCTGGGATGCTCACAGCCCCCGCGTGCTGGGTTCAAGTCTCAGCTCTGCTTCTGATCCCAGCTTTCTACAGCCTGGAAGGCAGCAGGTGACGGCTCCTGGCTTCAGTGTGGCACAGCCCTGACTGTTGCTGGCATCTGGGGCGTGAACCAGTGGATGCAAGATTATCTCTTTCTCTGCCGGCCTTTCAAATAATGGAAACAACTTTTTTTAAGGTGAGATTAAAGAAAGTGGATGATTTTACAATGTGGTGCCAACACTGACTTTTCAAAACACTCTTCTGTCTGCTAATAACTGTTACCAAGCCCTCCTCCTCCAGCACATGTGGTTCTGAGGCAGCCTACGAAAAGTTCCCCTGCCATCTTGGTTTGTAGGTACCAGAGTCAAAAGGCATCCACTTGGGGATGGGGAGGGAGACATACATAAATACAAGGTAATTATTATTTTACTAAATTTAAAACATGCAGGGGCCGGCGCTGTGGCAAAGCAGCTGATGGAGTGCCGGCATCCCACATGGGCTTCAGATCAGCACAGCTCTGGCCTCTGTGGCCAACTGGGGAGTGAACCAGAGGATGGAAAACCTCAAGACAGACCTACCTACCTACCTCCCTCCCTCCCTCCCTAACTCTTTCAAAAAAATAAATAAATCTTAAAAAAAAAAATCGGATGGAAGACACGCCCCCACCCCGCCTCTATCTGTAAATCTGCCTTCCAAATAAACACATAAATCTTTAAAAAAATAAATAAAAAAGACCTACGTAATGATAAGTGTGCTGAAACAAGACTGGCCATAAGTAAACCATTTAGGAAGCTGGGTAAGGAAGGAATTCATTACACTCTTTTGTGTCTGAAGTCTCCCGTAGTAAAAAGTCAAAAAGTAATAAATACATGGGCATAATAAAAAAAAAAAAAATTACACTCATCCCAAAGAGCTGCTTAAGACCAGGCGTTAAGCTTAGTGCCACGGAGGAGGAGGGTGGCTGTGTCTCCCCGGTCTGGCGGGTCGAAGTTCCGCGGGTGAGTTCCAAGGCCGCACCTGCAGCACCCGGCGGGAGCGCCGGCAACACAAAGGAGGGGGCAGGGGCGGCCGCCGGCTCGGGGGTCCGCGGAGGCGGGCAGAGGCTGCGGCTGGCCTCGGCGACCACAGCGGTCATCTTGCGGGTGCCCCGCCCCGCCTGCCCGGCCTCGGGGCCGTCCGCCTCCCGCGGCGCTGGGGCCACCTCCCGGAGCCTCCCTCCGGCCCAGGCCAAGGCTGGAGAGACGGCGGGCCAGGGAGGACCACAGCGAAAAGTTCGGTGGCTACGAGGGCGCGGGACGAGCCGTCGCCCGGCAGCTCCCGGCCCGCCACGCCCCCACCCCAGGCCCCGGCGGGGTCCCTCGGGCCTGCCCTCCGGCCCGACCCCCACTTCCAGGATCCTTCCTTTCTCATCTGCCAAATCCAGGGCGGTGTGAACCCCTGGCCCTCTCATCTGCTAAATCCAGGGCGCAGGACGAAGGGGCGGCCGAGACCCTTGACGCTGAGGATGCCACACTCACCTGGCCGAATCCAGGCGTGAAACCTGCAGCCACGGCCTTCGGAAACACAGATCGGGATCCAAAATGGCTGCCCCTCGGCCTCAGCACAGCCAGCCCGGGCGGAGGGATCCAAAGAGCCGAACTAGCCACGCCTTCCTTTCCAGAGATTGGCTGCGCGCCCGCCGCTGCCGGAACCTCTGCGCTGAGGGCCTCCCGGCTCCCTCCCCGGGCACCCTTCGGCGCCGGCGCGGCCAGGGACTACTTCCCGCGGCGGAGGCGTGGGCCATGACGGGCGGCCGGTCTCGGCCACTGAGTCACCTGCTGTGGGCGCGCCCTGGACTTCATCCTGGGCGCGGGGAGCCGGGCGGTGGTGTCTGCTCCTCCAACCAGCTCGGCTGTTATCTCTCAGACGCCTGGAGTGCCCTCTTGAGATTTATTCCCGTTCTCGCTCAGTCTCCACCGGCCCTGGGGGAAGCGAGCTTCGCCCGAGTCTGGGTTTCTGGCGACCCCGGGGCGGAGCTGCCCTTCGGCCGCTGACGGCCGTTTTCCTCGTCACGGTCGCTGGGTTTCCACCTCGCGGACTCAGATTCACCCACCCCGGCTCGACGCCGAGCCTGATTACCCTTTTGCCCGACTCTCTCCAGCCTGTGGTATTGAAACCAGCGAACGTTTCTTCGGCTGGAGACGGGTTCTCCTTTTCTGGGCTTAGCGTGGGAAGGGGCTCCCTGGGTTCTAGGCTTCCCGCCCCCTTGCTGCACGGAGACCGAAATCGTGATTTGCCGAGCTATCCCGGGGCAGCCCTTGGCTAAGAACGGAGGGAGCCACGCGTTCCCGTGAGGTTTACGTGGATTTACAAATACTGTGTGTTTATCACCATTTGCATTTCGAAATAAAACCAGGTTCTAGGGCCTCAAAATACTATCCGGTTCCTGTAAAGTGTGTGGATTTTTTCCCAGTGAATACGTGTATAAAGTTGTCAATTCTGCTGCAAAATAATAGCGAAATAAAAAAATAATAAGTGAGCGGAGCGCTCTAAAGCGCCCGCGAGACACGGCACCCAGCGTGTGTGTGTGTGTGTGTGTGTGTGTGCACCTTGTTGAGGTCCTCCTTCATAGAAACCGATTGTGGAAGACGCTTGTGAGACAACGGGGGAAACTGGACTATGCATTAGTTATTAGATGACTCCAGAAACATCTAAGATGTATTATTTTATTAAGCGTGGAGATGGCATTGAGATTTTCAAAGAAAATGCCCTTTTTTATTTTGGGAAGTGCATCCTCTAGGGGTAAAGTGACAGCAAAAATCTTGATAACTGTTGAATCAAACCATGGCTTCTACTAGGCTATTTACTTGTAAGCATGTTTTTTTTGTTGTTGTTTTTGTTTGTTTTTTTAACAGGCAGAGTGGACAGTGAGAGAGAGAGACAGAGAGAAAGGTCTTCCTTTTGCCGTTGGTTCACCCTCCAATGGCCGCCGCGGCCGGCGCACCGCGCTGATCCGATGGCAGGAGCCAGGAGCCAGGTGCTTGTCCTGGTCTCCCATGGGGTGCAGGGCCCAAGCACTTGGGCCATCCTCCACTGCACTCCCTGGCCACAGCAGAGAGCTGGCCTGGAAGAGGGGCAACCGGGACGGAATCCGGTGCCCCGACCGGGACTAGAACCCGGTGTGCCGGCGCCGCTAGGCGGAGGATTAGCCTAGTGAGCCGCGGCGCCGGCCTGTAAGCATGTTTTAAAATGTCCGTCTCAGCCAAAACATGAAAACAATCAAACTGCCTATCACGGGATGAATGTAGAAACAAAACACGGTGTACACAGACAAGCAGATAAAGCATGTTCTCACACACAGTGGGACACAGAGACTCTGTGCTAAGTAAAATGAACTTGCCACAAAAAAAGGCGAGAACTGTCTGATTCCACTGATGAGGTACCCAGAGTAGTCAAATCCATAGAGACAGAAAGTAGAATGGTGGCTGCCAAGGACGGGGGACCAGGAGAACGGGGAGTTGTTTAAGGGGTTCAGAATCTCCTTTGAAAAGATGAAACAAGCTCTGGAGGTGGATGGGGCTGACGGATGCATGACCATGTAAATGTATAGTGCTGCTGAACCAGACACGTAAAAATGGTTGAGATGGTAGCTTTTTCTTTAGGTACATTATGCGTTAGACTCTAATGCAAAATGACCTATAAAAAGGGAAATTTGAGAGGCCAGTGCTGTGGCTTAACAGATTAAGCCTCTGCCTGCAATTCTGGCATTCCATGTGGACACTGGTTTGAGTCCCAGCTGCCCCACTTCACATTCAGCTCCCTGCTAGTGCACCTGGCAAAGCAGTGGAAGATGGTCCAAGTCCTTGGGCCCCTGCACCCACCTGGGAGATCTGGATGAAGCTCCTGGCTTCATCCAGCCCTGGCCATTGCCACCATAGATGGAAGACCTCTCTCTCTCTCTCTCTCTGTCTCTCTCTCTCTCTGACTTTCAAATAAAAATAAACAAAAGGAGGGGGGAGCATTTGAGGACAGGTATTTGGCCCAGTAGTCAAGCAGCTGGTTGGGATGGCTCGGTTCAGGTCTGGGCTCTGCCCCCACTTCCTGCTAATGTGCACCCTAGGAGGCAGCAGGTGATGATGGCTCATGTTCTTGGATCCCTGCCACCTATGTGGGAGATGTGGGTTGAGTTTCCAGCTCCTGGCTTCAGCCTGGCCCAAGAGGACCAGGCCTGGGAGTGACCCAGTAGATAAGGACTCTCTCGGCACACACTCTCTCTTCTCCATCTCTCAAATAAATAAGAATTTGAAAAATATAAAAGGAAAATTTGGAGACATAAAACAGTATGTGTCCACATGCCAAGAAATGCCAGACTGCTGGCAAACTTCCAGCAAGCAGAGAGGGAGGGGACAGGTTCCCCCTCACAGCCCTGTAAAGGAACCAGCCCTGCGGTCACCTTGATCTCACTAGCCTCCAGCACTGGGAATCCGTACATTTCTGTTTAAGCCACCAGTTTGTGGTACTGTGTAATAGCAACCCTAGCAAACTAATGCACTCTGTGACCAGACTTCTCTCCTAGAAAGTTCAACCACTCTCTCCTTCAAGCAGTGGTGTCTGAGAGTGTCCATTCCTCATTCCCCCTGAGTGTGGGCACTGGTGATCTTGCCAGTCCTTCTGAAGTTACGAAAAAAATTTAATTGGTATATCTTGACAATTAGCATGATTGACTATCTTCTGAATGGTGTGTTCAGGGTAGTCTTTTGCCCATCTTTTTAACAGTGCAGATAACAACATAAATAAAATTTTAAGTAATGTATAAATACAACAAACAAAGATGAACAGTGAAAATAAATCTCTCCTCTGAGCCTTAGTCTTTCAATCCCACCCCACAAGTTGAACAGTCATTGCACCAGATTCTTGTGCCTTTGTGGAAGCCGCTTGGTCTCTCTTTTGCCTTGGTTTCTTCACTGTAAAGTCAGAATAGCACCTACCATAATATATTTGTTGTGAGGATTAAATGTGTTACCTTATGAAAAATTCTTATAACATTGTCAAATAGATAATGTTTAATGCTATTAATATCCTTCCAGTGATTGCCACAACAAATGTATGCCTTTTTAAAAAAATACAGTAGCATACTTTATGTATTATATTATAACTTACATTCAGATCCATGTCTTGGGTATTGTCTCATATAAGCAGTTATCAAAAAATTTTCATTCTTTTAAAGGAGTTCATAAGATTCCATTGTTCATATATATGTGTATCAAGATCTTTTTTTTTTCTCAGAAAAATTTGGAACACTTCACGAATTTGCATATCATCCTTAAGCAGGGGCCATGCTAATCTTCTCTGTGTTGTTCCAATTTTAGTATATGTGCTGCTGAAGCGAGCACTACCAAGATCTTTTAAACTCTATTCTATTGATGGGTATTTAGTTTTATTTCCAATATCTTGAATCTGTGAACAATGCTACAATGATTAGATATTTGCCTACATGAATTGTACTCAGTGCATAAATGCCAAGAAGTAGAAGAACTGGGTCAAGGGGTAAGTACATTTTTTATTTTAATTAGATATTGCTAAATCACCCTTTGAAGAGGAAGTATCAATTTATACCACTAACTGACTAAGAGTTATTATTTCCTCATGCCCTTAGTAGCACAGTATGTTCAGATAACTTAGAGGATCCTTGACATTATCCTGACCTTGTTCAGACTATGGAAGATTAGCTCAAAGTGTCATACAACTCTAGCCTCGTTCAAGGTGACATGAATCCACTGAAAGAAATTTCTTCCTACTCCAGGAATTGTCTGGATTCAGCAACCATCGTCACATGTACCCTACATTTTAGCAAAATTTAGTAATTATTCAGCTCCTATAAAACACAACTGTGAATTGTAACACGACCAGCCAGATATTCAAAACAGTGTCTCTGGCTCTGGCTGAACAGACCAGTTCATTCAGAAGCTAAACAAAAAACAAACAAACCAAAAACAAAAAAAACTGACTCACAGTGTTTTACCCGAAAATCCTGTTTCGCTGACAGAACAAAAATTAACACACAACATTCCTTTGGTTAATTAACCAGGTACTCTGTTTTTGTATAAATGATACAAAATACCTGATATAGTTTTTGAACCCATACAGTAAAAGTCCATCAGTAATAGACCTACAGGCCAAAATCAGTCAGGACTGTTTTGTACAGCCCTCCAGCTATAAGTGGTTTTTATATTGCTACAGGGTGCAGGAAAAGAGAATGATACGTGTCAGTGACCTTATGACACTGTTAGGCTGCCCACACAGCCTAACATACTCACAGTTAGGCTCTTTACAGGAAAAGTGCTGACACCTGCAATTAAAGAGACTACAGGGGCCAGCGCTGTGGTGTAGAAGGTTAACCCTCCACTTGCAGAGTCGGCATCCAATGTGGGCACCAGTTCAAGTCCCGGCTGCTCCACTTCTGATCCACCTCCCTGCTAATGTGCCTGGGAAAGCAGCGGAAAATGGCCCAAGTCCTGCATCCATGTGGGAGACCTGGAAGAAGCTCCTGGCTCCTGGCTTTGGCCTGGCCCAGCCCTGACAGTTGAAGCCATTTGGGGACTGAACCAATGGATAGACAATCTCAGTCTCTCTCTCTCTCTCTCTGCCTCTCCTCTCTCTGTATAACTCTGAC